AATGTTCATATAATGTGACCCTACTCACTGCTTAGGGATGCAACATTCCTTTAATGGACATTTTGTCATTCATTCAGATACACTATACTGATTTGAACCTAATCTTCTTAATGACTGGAGATATTACGGGAGGTTTTGTGTATAATTGTGGTCAGCCCTCAGGCAGGTTGTCCTCTCTGTGGTTCATCTTTGGCATTTTCCCCCTTCCCCCCCCCCCAGTTTTATTGAGATATAATTGACATGTAACACTGTAAAAGTTTTAGGTGTACTCAATGCTTTGCTATATGTATATATTGTGAAATGATCACCACAGTAAGGTTAAACAACCATCACTTCACACAGTTAACATTTTCTCCTCCTGATGAGAACTTTTTTTTTTAAGTTTATTTATTTATATTTGAGAGAGAGAGAGAGCACGGAAGGGGCAGAGAGGGAGAGAGGAAATCCCAAGCAGGCTCCACGCTGTCAGCACAGAGCCCCATGCGGGGCTCAAACTCATGAACCGTGAGATCATGACCTGAGCCCAAGTCGGACCCTTAACCAACACTGAGCTACCTAGATGCCCCCCTCCTGATGAGAACTTTAAGGAGCTACTCTCTTTGCATCTTTCAAATGTACAATACAGTATTGTTAACTATAGTCAGCATGTTGTACATTACATCTTCAGGACTTACTTATAACTGGAAGTTTATACCTTTTGACCATCTTTGCCTAATTCTCCCATCTCCTACTCCTCCACCTCTGGCAGCCACCAATCTGATCTCTGTATCAATGAGTTTGTTTTTTTTCAGATTCCACATATGAGATCATACAGTATTTGTCTTTCTTCTGTCTGATTTATTTCATGCAGCATAATGCCCTCAAGTGCCATCCATGTTGTTGCAAATGGCAGGATTTTCTTCTTTTTTATGGCCAAATGATATTCCATTGTAAATATTTATCCATCCATCTGTGGATGGACACTTGGGTTGTTTCTACGTGTTGGTTATTGTAAATAATGCTGCAATGAACGTGGGGGTGCAGATATCTGGCAAATTTTTAATCTTGGTCAGACCTTTCCAGCATCCCAGAAAAACAGTAGGAAAATTAAAAAATCAAATCATTGGGTGCCTGAGTGACTCAGTCAGTTAAGCGTCCAACTTTAGCTCAGGTCATGATGTCACGGTTCGTGAGTTTGAGCCCCACGTCCGGGCTCTGTGATGAAAGCTCATAGCCTGGAGCCTATTTCAGTTTCTTTGTCTCCCTCGCCCTCTGTCCCTCCCCTGCTTGTGCTCTGTCTCTCTCAAAAATAAACGTTAAAAAAATTTTTTTTAATCAAATCATTAAAATTTGGAAAATAAACCTTTTAACTCCATTCATCCCTGAGGAAGCCCTGCCTGGTGGTTAGGAGCATTTAAGTCCTAAGGTCAGGTCTCCTTGGTTCCCAGTCACAGCCTCCCAAGCTTCTGTTCTAGAAAGTAAAGGGAGGTAATGGTAGATACAGCCTCTGAACTTTGACTGACACCTCTGAGCTTTGACTGACAACTGTATGGGAATGGTTGGCCCAGTGCCTGGCACATAGTGAGTTCTCAATAAGATGAGTTACTATGGGGTACCCTGGGTGGCTCACTTGGTTAAGCGTCTGACTCTTGGTTTTGGCTCAGGTCATGAT